TTTTTCGTTTCTTGGAGACATACGATGCATAATATCTGGATGTGTCAGTTTCGTCCGTCATTAAATGAAGCAGTCGACATGTTGCACAGTTTAAAAAGATTTTTTTTGCTTTTTTTATAGAGATTGGAATGTTACGCGGGTAATCACGCGCAATCAATGACATAATGCAAAATAAAAATAGTAAATATGCGGATTGTCTAAATACAGTGTATGATCGACATTCGAGAATCATACAGAACAATGATCACGGGACCAATCGAAAATCAAGCGGATCGATTATTCGTGTAATGTATAATCGCAGTTGTTCGATACGCTTATTCAGCTAGAAAATCATTCTTTAACCATTAGAACAAAACATGTACCAGTTTCTAAGCCATGTATAGCAAGTACAATCAGCTTCGTAGGTACTTTCTGCGTTGTGTAACAAGTTTTCTTATCCCCTTTACCTTCAGGACATCATTAGGTATACTAATAAACTTTTTGACGGCAATAGAACAAACAGTTATCTGACTTAGCATTTATGTCAAATCATTTTACAGATGAACGACGGGATTATGGGTGAGGGATCGTATAGTTAAATATGTAAGATAATGTAGTTGGCAGGAGGGATAGGAATGATATTGGGTAAGGAGGATGATGAGGCATAGGATGTGTTGTGAGGATGGATGATTTTATGTAGAGAGGATGATGGAGAAAGATGTATACTTGGGAGTTATAGAGGGCTGACATAAGGATGGAGGATCATGTCCCGATGCAATAGATATGATGTAGGAAATGATGATGCATAGCGATAGATACAATATGTTGTATACAATATGTTGTAGGAATGGTAGAGATGACGAAGATGATGTAGGAAGGATTATGGAAGAATATATGTAGGGAGGATGTGTATAGAGGATGGGAGGATGCGTAGGATGACAAGTAGGGCAGACTAATGTATCGTGGACCATGTGCAAGGAAAGCACATAGGAATGACAGTGGCATGTAGTGGATGTTGTGCTGACGGGTGGGGGTAATATGTAGGGAATAAGGAGGTTTGTAATGATGTGTGGATGTGTAGAGAGGGTAATACATAGTGAGGATGACATGTTAAGGATGATGAACCGATCCAAGCGATGGAGCTCTCTTGTTCTTCTTCCCCAATGTGTAGGGAACGATGAAATGATGATCTAACGAACAATATACATGCATAACATCGATAGTACAGTGCCTGAACCAATATTAGTTTTTTTGCGCCCTTTTTACCACTCGCCATTGATTCATTCCCAATACATACCATTGTTATAAATCACAAGTTATGAATATCCTATATTTGCTCAAAAAGCAATAGTTTATGCTGTCGCGACTTCAGACCTTTGATGCAAAAATGATACAAGCGAGTTTATCTAAAAAAGAATGTTACGGTGCATTTTGTTAGATCTTTTGAACTCTCTAACGAAAGGGCTCCAGTCTGACATGCTGTAGCTAGCATAGATACGTTTCTTGATGCTTCTTTATATATTGTTTGAAAGAGCAAACAGTTTCTACAAACTTCAATATTGTGAAGGGGTTCCCTTGGTATGAGTAATTTACCTATTAAAACACGCTAAAGAGAACGTTGTTAAAGTGAAATGGCGTAAATCTGACGTCTTCGGAGGTCGTTATTCAAAAAACTGCTTAAAAGAGTCCAGTGGATTAGAGTGGATTATGAAGCTATGGGTATAGGTGAGTGCATAACGATAATAATAATTTGGTGTTGCTATAGGAGAATGTGCCTCTAAACAAAGCGAAGTAAGTGTGTTTTTTGTGTAATCGAGCCAATCAAATTTCATGGAACATTCAAAATTGATTTCCATGACCACCCCAAATTTCTGACTGTAATGAGGCGCAGTAGTCACTCGAGTAAAAGATGTCATCTACGATTATCTACGAAAAATGAATTTATTGTATCCGATCTTACTAGGTCGGAGGATGATCCTTTAGCAATTCGGTTAAGGTTTGATACTCCACTAGATTTGCAGAAGGAAATAGAATTGCGTCAAAAGAAAAAAATAAAAAGTAAACCAGCTGATACATAGGATGGGGGGGTACGATATCCATAGTGTTACAAACATAGGGGAAGCCCCATATTAAATTTCCAAATGAAAGTTTTTTTCTGCTGATCATTTTGTCGATCATTTGCAATAGTAAAAACATATAAACTTCAAACTGAAACTGGCTTCGAAGGAAGAAAGCTGCGGCCTTAAAACTTTGGCAGCAGATAGTTTAGCATCTGTTTCATAAACTAATGGAGCTTTATTTTATTTACATTACAAAAAAAAATTAAAAAACCAGGTTATAAAAAATTTCTGATAAGCGAACTAACGTTTATGTCAATAAAAACGAACGGACGGAGCCATTAGTTTATTAGTAAATGGATCGAGCATATCTAGTTTCAATTTCATGGGCGTGAGTTTGAATTTGAAACTATCGTATTTTATAATAGACAAATGATCGGCAATCAAAGGCTTAATATAGAATAGCGTCGGTCACTACTTATTCAAGCCTTGGCCAGATCTGATCATTTGTCTATTATAAAATACGGTAGTTTCAAATTCAAACTCACTCTGATAGAGAACAGGTATGCCCATGAAATTGAAACTAGATATGCTCGATCCATTTACTAATAAACTAATGGCTCCGTCCGTTCGTTTTTATTGACATAAACGTTAGTTCGCTTATCAGAAATTTTTTATAACCTGGTTTTTTAATTTTTTTTTGTAATGTAAATAAAATAAAGCTCCATTAGTTTATGAAACAGATGCTAAACTATCTGCTGCCAAAGTTTTAAGGCCGCAGCTTTCTTCCTTCGAAGCCAGTTTCAGTTTGAAGTTTATATGTTTTTACTATTGCAAATGATCGACAAAATGATCAGCAGAAAAAAACTTTCATTTGGAAATTTAATATGGGGCTTCCCCTATGTTTGTAACACTATGGATATCGTACCCCCCCATCCTATGTATCAGCTGGTTTACTTTTTATTTTTTTCTTTTGACGCAATTCTATTTCCTTCTGCAAATCTAGTGGAGTATCAAACCTTAACCGAATTGCTAAAGGATCATCCTCCGACCTAGTAAGATCGGATACAATAAATTCATTTTTCGTAGATAATCGTAGATGACATCTTTTACTCGAGTGACTACTGCGCCTCATTACAGTCAGAAATTTGGGGTGGTCATGGAAATCAATTTTGAATGTTCCATGAAATTTGATTGGCTCGATTACACAAAAAACACACTTACTTCGCTTTGTTTAGAGGCACATTCTCCTATAGCAACACCAAATTATTATTATCGTTATGCACTCACCTATACCCATAGCTTCATAATCCACTCTAATCCACTGGACTCTTTTAAGCAGTTTTTTGAATAACGACCTCCGAAGACGTCAGATTTACGCCATTTCACTTTAACAACGTTCTCTTTAGCGTGTTTTAATAGGTAAATTACTCATACCAAGGGAACCCCTTCACAATATTGAAGTTTGTAGAAACTGTTTGCTCTTTCAAACAATATATAAAGAAGCATCAAGAAACGTATCTATGCTAGCTACAGCATGTCAGACTGGAGCCCTTTCGTTAGAGAGTTCAAAAGATCTAACAAAATGCACCGTAACATTCTTTTTTAGATAAACTCGCTTGTATCATTTTTGCATCAAAGGTCTGAAGTCGCGACAGCATAAACTATTGCTTTTTGAGCAAATATAGGATATTCATAACTTGTGATTTATAACAATGGTATGTATTGGGAATGAATCAATGGCGAGTGGTAAAAAGGGCGCAAAAAAACTAATATTGGTTCAGGCACTGTACTATCGATGTTATGCATGTATATTGTTCGTTAGATCATCATTTCATCGTTCCCTACACATTGGGGAAGAAGAACAAGAGAGCTCCATCGCTTGGATCGGTTCATCATCCTTAACATGTCATCCTCACTATGTATTACCCTCTCTACACATCCACACATCATTACAAACCTCCTTATTCCCTACATATTACCCCCACCCGTCAGCACAACATCCACTACATGCCACTGTCATTCCTATGTGCTTTCCTTGCACATGGTCCACGATACATTAGTCTGCCCTACTTGTCATCCTACGCATCCTCCCATCCTCTATACACATCCTCCCTACATATATTCTTCCATAATCCTTCCTACATCATCTTCGTCATCTCTACCATTCCTACAACATATTGTATACAACATATTGTATCTATCGCTATGCATCATCATTTCCTACATCATATCTATTGCATCGGGACATGATCCTCCATCCTTATGTCAGCCCTCTATAACTCCCAAGTATACATCTTTCTCCATCATCCTCTCTACATAAAATCATCCATCCTCACAACACATCCTATGCCTCATCATCCTCCTTACCCAATATCATTCCTATCCCTCCTGCCAACTACATTATCTTACATATTTAACTATACGATCCCTCACCCATAATCCCGTCGTTCATCTGTAAAATGATTTGACATAAATGCTAAGTCAGATAACTGTTTGTTCTATTGCCGTCAAAAAGTTTATTAGTATACCTAATGATGTCCTGAAGGTAAAGGGGATAAGAAAACTTGTTACACAACGCAGAAAGTACCTACGAAGCTGATTGTACTTGCTATACATGGCTTAGAAACTGGTACATGTTTTGTTCTAATGGTTAAAGAATGATTTTCTAGCTGAATAAGCGTATCGAACAACTGCGATTATACATTACACGAATAATCGATCCGCTTGATTTTCGATTGGTCCCGTGATCATTGTTCTGTATGATTCTCGAATGTCGATCATACACTGTATTTAGACAATCCGCATATTTACTATTTTTATTTTGCATTATGTCATTGATTGCGCGTGATTACCCGCGTAACATTCCAATCTCTATAAAAAAAGCAAAAAAAATCTTTTTAAACTGTGCAACATGTCGACTGCTTCATTTAATGACGGACGAAACTGACACATCCAGATATTATGCATCGTATGTCTCCAAGAAACGAAAAAATACCAAGGTTGAAGGCTCTTCCGCACCAAAACGGCAGTCACGGCGCATTGCCAGTCAAAGCTCGGATCTTACGGTTGCCATCACCCAGCTTAGGCTCAATTCCAGTTTAAGCTCTGGTTATGACTTAAATAACCAGGCATCTGGGGTGAACACAGAAACAAATATAAATGAAGCCGACGAAAAGGAAAAGAATTGGTGGTTGAGTAGAGATTCTTTAGGTTCTCTGGGTGTTGAAGAGGAAAGGTAAAACGTTAGTATTTACTTATTACATTTGTTTCATGCTAAATTTTGATTTACCTTGTCAGATTACCTCTGGTTGTAGCAAGAGATGTAACATTTAGTCAGTTCGCAAAACGAGTTGAGATTATTAAGGCCAGGAGGTTTTTTGACTATCATAATGGAACTATAACAATTATTGAGTTACCAACTGGCGAACACGAAGTTACACACACCAAATTTAGTTATCAGTTTAAAAGTGCATTCAATAACGCACTAGCACAAGATGATATAGAGAACTGGGGTGCAAAAAGTAAGCCCTAATTGAATTTAGCCTGCGTACATATTTTGCAGTGCTAACTAATTTTATTGCATCCAGGTTTATACACTAATCTTCTATCAGATGAATATGAAGAGCCGGACGCATGCTTTATACCCAAACGTCTACTCGATCCACTGAACCCAGCACAAAATCCTTGTGATCGAAATGTTTG